CAGGGGGCTCAAACAATCCCCTCGATCGAAGGATCACTACAGCTCCTATTGAAAATTCGTGGAAAAATGACTAAGTCCACAATTGGGGACCCTTCGGGTCGAACCGGAATGCCATCTACATCCACAGGCTTACAGCCGATGGCCCACCTAAGCTACTGGGCGACAACCTGAAGCTACACTACAATCGGAGGCTCGTCACTACCGAGGGCCTAGTCACCGAGGACATATTCTGGGATCTTACTTAGAAAATTTTCTAGGTCCACAGCTTCAAGCCCCCCAATGGTCCTACGCTACCGCAGAGGGCTCATGACAAAAGTTTTGCTTAGAAAAATTTCTAAGTCCACAACAACGACCCCCCCGCGATTCTACTCTACAACCGGGGGCTATCAATGAGTGACACTTAGAAAAATTTACTAAGTCCACAAACTAGGGGCCTCCGGGAAAGCAGACATTCATATGGAAGGAAGGAAGAAAAAGACATTCATACACAAACACGAAAAGAAACAAAGGCATACATTCAAGTTCAAAATAAACGAAGGCCTTCGTTCGTACGAAAAACCCGGAGGCAATGATTCATTCAACAAGAAAAATAATTAGAGTACAGGAATGTGTTTCATTACAAAAGCGTGGCCGAAGCCGAGGCCTACAAACTATTACAAGGTTTATGCACACGCAGATAGCTAAGTCTGGGCCCCCTCAGCTGCATGCTCCTTCATCTTTGAGGTAGCGTCATCCTCAACTTCATCTTCATCTTCAAGACCACATTCCCTCATCAGCTCGGAATCTGCGAGCTGGCGCCTCTCTTCACCCTCCGGGAGGGGGATTCGAACATCAGGTTGCCGGGGGGGAAGACCGTAGGCCGAAGGGTCGAACTTGCTAGGATCAATACCGAAGTGGCCGGCCAGCTTCCTATAAATCAGGCGCTGGGTGAAGAATTCACCCCCATCGAGCGAAGGCTTGTACGTCCATAATATCACCTGCAAAAGACAAGGAAGGGTTAGAATCAGAGCTAATCAAGGGGAAATATTCTAAGTAAAAAAAAAAAAAAATAGGAGCCCTCGGCTACAACCTCCGGCGTTTTGATACCCCCGGTCGATCTCAGGATATTTCTCATCTTCATCCCCCGGGAGGCGATACCGCCTAAAGCCCAGCAGGTAAAGATCCTCTGGAAGCGTCGCCGCCTTGATAGCGATCACCTTATCAGAGCCCTCGGGCTTCTCGGTGAGTTTCTTACCAGCCTTCTGCAGTGCCGCGCTGCCCACCTTCGGATGCCTACGGAAGTGATTGCGCAGGGCCCCCGGGAATGGGTTATCAGCCATCCGGATATAACAAAATTTTTCCTTCCACTCCTTGTGCGATGAGGGGGTCTCGGAGAATAGCTTCCAAGCCGGCACCTGTTGCAAATTGGCATATCCCCCGGCGTGGGAATGTCCACCGCGGCACAGATTAAAGGAGAGGAAAAATTGATCTAACGTAGCCTCCACCTTCCGGCTCTGGCAGAGAGATAAGAACCCCGCCAAGTAATAGTGGCTGTTGGGAGTTAGCTGGCAGGGGGCTAGCTTCACAAACCTCAGGTACTCCAAGACGAAAGGGTGGAGTGGGAACCTAAGACCCAACTCCACCGACAGCATGTGAACAGAGAAACACCCCTCCGGGGGGTGAGAGAGCAGATCTTCAGTCCCCGGCTCCACGACCTGCGCCGAGGGCCCCACGAGGACTTGGAGAGCCTGATAATCAGCACCCGAGGCCGTGGTTTTCACCTCAAGGGCAGTAGTGTCCAAATACGAGTGCCCCTCGGGGATCCCGACGGGGCGACCAACGTCGATGGCCGCTTGCTTTTTCTTGGGAGCAACCTTCAACTTCTTCTTCCTTTTTCCCGGGGCCACGCTCAGCGGATCAGGGTCCAATGGTCGGGAGGTGCTTGCCTCGCCAGCACCGCGCGAGGGTAGAACAGCAACCGTCACCCGAAGGCGTTCCTTCTCCTCTTCTTCTTCTGCTACCTGGAGAGCGAGGGCCATCTCCTCATCCTCCGCCACCTGCTCGAAGTCTTCAGCTTCGGCCTCAGTACGAAGGTTGCTCTGCACCTCCCTCGCCACTTCCGAGTCATTGTTGGAGGAGGCTTGCCCGCTCGACGGCTCCACATCCGAATAGCTCTCGGATTGTGCCGGAGCCTCCTCCGAGATATTTTGGGAATCGCTCGCGGAGGACATAGTTGTGAATAAGGGGAGGGTTCCTAACCGAGGGTCCTAAAGTCTCCCTAAACACTAGATCTAAGGACACAATAGCAAACTATGCTGCGAGGAAAAGAACAGGTGAAGAACTAACCTCAAAGCTTAAGGTTTGATCGAAGTTTGGAGTTTCTCTCTCTAGAAAATTCGGCAGAGCTTCGCTTCACAACAAAACGCACAAACCAAATGAGTTCGGAGTTGGGGTATATATAGGCTTTCAGCCTCGAGAACTGGGCCTCGATTTAAAAAGGCCATCATTACGGGTCGCCGGTTCAGCCAATGGATGGCACCCGCCCCCCCGTCGGCCAACGAGAACACGCCACGTGGCTCCCACCTCCAACGGCTATGTCACAACGGCTCTATTTTAGAACCTCTTGAGGCGACCTCTGACGATAGCCTCCGGCTATTACTAATGAAGCCTTCGGTGAACACATATCACCAAGCACCCTCAGGCAAACTGCAATATAAGCCTCCGGTTATCACTCACCGCAGCCTTCGGGCGGCGAAGTCCACCAAAACGCCCTCGAGCCCGTAGCAGCATAAGCCTTCGGCTTATCAATGTTACCACCCCTCGGTGGCTCATCAACTCATCATAACTCCTTCAGCCCGAACTCGCCTTCGGCCTAAAGGAGTGGGGGACTGGGATACACCCCTCGGGTACATACTTCAACACCCCCTTCGGCAGAGGTAGAGTATCAAAATTTTTCCCAAGTCACTTGCGAAAATGAAGCAGCCCTCATCACAACACATGCAGGCAATACATCTATGCTTTCCCCAGAAAACCCTCGACAAGTGAGGGACTGAGGAAAGCCTTCTGCAGTCATACAGGTGTTATACTGCCCTCAGAAAGCCCTCGACATGTGAGGGACTGAGGGAAGCCCCCGGTAAACATGCGAAGGTTCCGAATACCTTCCCTCAGAAAACCCTCGACATGTGAGGGACTGAGGGAAGCCTTCGGCAATCAGCAGAAGACAAGTTCTCCAGCGAAAGCACCCAGCGAAATGATGAAGCCTCCAGAAGAAGCAACACATCTACTCATTTTCCCTCAAGTACCTTTCAGCAAAAGGAGTGAGGGACTCCTGATGGAGTATATGGCCCAGGAACCCCCGGCCCATAGACTCCTACTTCTCCTACACAAGTCCATTGAGCCCAGAGAACAACTCAGGCCCAGAATACAACGGCCCAAGCCTCAAAGTAGCCCAGAATACACACTGGGTGCCTTCGGCCTCCTTGGCCGAAGGCTCCAAAACTCACAGGATAGCCTTCTCTGGCATAAGGAGCTGCTGGAAGAAAACGGGCAAAGACGTGAGCCTTCGGCATTCTCATGCCCTCGGCACCAGGGGAAGCCCTCGGCTGATCCAAGCCTTCGACTACACATTGAGCCTACGGCCATACATGAAGCCCTCGGCTACGCAAGGAGCCCTCGGCTACACAAGGAGCCTTCGGCTGAACTAGCTCAATCATCGAAGATTCCTTTTGGAGACAGCCAACCACCGCATTTAATGCCACGTCACATCCGCCAACCGCGTTCAATGCGGTGAACGTACCACTGCCGGTGCCAACCAGCTGATGTGACCCTTCGGCCGTTGGATTACTGACACGTGTCCCCTCATCGCACTTATTGCTGCTATAAATAGCAGTCCATTTCTCCTTGTAAATCATCATCTGCATCTCAACTCCACATCTCGAGTTCATTTAATAAAATCAACTCTCTCTCCTCCTATTTACTCTGACTTCTCTCTAGTTATTCCCGCAATAACCCCTCGGATAAGATACCCCCCGGGTAGACTATCCATCATTAGGATTGCATCAAACTCCAACATGCTTAGAGGTACGAAATCACAAGTCAAAGGTTGACCCGTCACTTCTACCTCACACGACGGATAGTAATGATTTCTCTCCACGTCGTCTCCTAACGGTGTGGAGACTAGCAACGTTTGAGTCATAGGTGTCAATGGCACGTCAAAGCCCTCGGCGAATGCCTCACTCACAAATGAGCGTTGTGCCCCGGTATCGATGAGGATCCTCGCACACCTACCATTGATCTTTAATGTTCCTACATTTATACACCATGTAAGATACATTTTCTAATGTTTTTACACATCTTTAGGAGGTTATTAGGCTCATACTAATGTTTGGAATCAAACGGGAGTCCAAACGTAGAAGAACGGGGCGAAAAAAAATCAATTTCGGGTGTTGGGGGTCCACGCACGGCGTGCCTGGGTGGCACGCACGGCCGTGCGTGCAACAAACTCTCCCTGCTGGCCACTGCCGGCCAGGCACGATGCCAGGCACGGCGTGCCTGCGGCCGTGCCTGGCCAAAAATTCTTCGGACGCCACTGCCTTCCAGGCACGACGCCAGGCACGGCGTGCCTGTGGCCGTGCCTGGCCTCAAATTTTTTTTTTTTTTCTTTCTCTTCGGGTGCCACTGCCCTCCAGGCACGACGCCAGGCACGGCGTGCCTGCGGCCGTGCCTGGCCAGCAGTGGCTGTTTCTAGTCCGATTCGGCCTAACTCACCCGGTTCGACCCCGGGGTGGCCCGCACTCAATCCCAACAACGTATATGATCAAAGTAAGCCTAGAAATACATGGGAATACGTGTATTACCTGCAACGGAGTCCGGGTTTGCTCTCGCATCCGCCTCGGTCATCGCGTACACTCGGGCTTGGGTCCCACCTTGGTTGACGGATGCGGCATGGCTTGTGGATGCGCCGCCTCTTCCCGTGTCGCCGTTTGATGGTCCCGCACGGTTCCTTCCCGTCATGGTCCCTCCCCCGGCTCCCGAGGCACTCTCTTGCATCAATTGAGGGCAATTGGCCTTCATATGACCCGCATTCCCGCACTTAAAACACCTCGGTGGTTCATTGCACTTCCCGAAGTGTTGTTTTGAGCAATTGGGACATCTAGGTGGCCCCGAGTTCTGTGGCCTAGGTCCGTGCCACCTCGCATCCCTATTCTTCTTTGCCGGTGGAGCCGGCGTCTTGAATGAACCACCGCCACCACCACCACCACCCCCGTGGTTGTTCCTTCGAGAATGATCGGGTGGCCCCGAATTATTCCACTTCCTCTTCTTCGCCTCTTCGGCGTCCCTTGCTTTCCTCTCGTTCCATTGGGCCTCCCCAAGAAGGCCCTGCTCCACCACCTCGCTAAAGGTCATGTGGCGCGAGTACGTAGCCCGATCACGGATGTCCAAGAGTAGGGCGTCCCAAAAGTGCTCCGTCATACGGTTCTCATCAACCGCGTACTCTGGCAAGAACCTAGCCAAGGTTCTAAACTCTTGTTCCAGCTGTGTCACGCCCCAGACCGCAATCCAAGCGCGTGTACAATCGCCGTATAATTAAGTGACGTCACCCGCGAGTCAACCCCACTTAATTACACAAGGCGTTCGAGAAAACAATCCATCCATACTCAGTAGTAAACATACATAACAACATCACATTTAAACCAATGAATAGCGGAAATATTCAACGGTAAGTCATAAGCCACAACCGGCCAACAACATGGGCATGCAAGCCCCAAAAATAGTTTATAGTAGAACAAATATCCATGAGCAAGTGTTCGGTAGTTTGAAAGAAAATAAGGAAGCACGAACCACGTCTTCCTGATTTGATATCACCCGTGAGAAGGTGCAAGTAGCAAGCCCTAGCTTCAACCTGAAAATGGTGGGGCCCCCCGAAGGGGTCAGTACAAGTACCGAGCGAGTAGCAGGCTAAATATAGAATAACTAGCGTTTCAAGTATAAGACCCAAACATAGGGTGATACTTAAATAGATAGTCTTTCCCCCAAGTTATGAAATACTTATTAGTATATATATACTTGGAAAATATCCGATCCGTAGATCACCATTTTATTTGGGAAAAATAGTATTAGTCAATATTCTTGACTAAAAACCCCAACCCACCCATATACCTATGAGTGTATAGGACTCCTCCTTGTCCCTATTTGTATATCATAATTTATGAGTTTTAGGATCAACATCCTCGGATACTCCACCGGTTTGTGAGTGTTAAGGCCTCATAAGTCCTAGGGTCCTCCACCGAGTTTTGAGTGTTAAGTACTTTAAGTACTAGGGTCCTCCACCAAGTTTGAGTGTTAAGGACTTTAAGTCCTAGGGTCCTCCACCAAGTTTTTGAGTGTTAAGTACTTTTTAAGTACTAGGGTCCTCCACCGAGTTTGAGTGTTAAGGACTTTAAGTCCTAGGGTCCTCCACCAAGTTTGAGTGTTAAGGACTTTAAGTCCTAGGGTCCTCCACCAAGTTTGAGTGTTAAGGACTTTAAGTCCTAGGGTCCTCCACCAAGTTTGAGTGTTAAGTACTTTTTAAGTACTAGGGTCCTCCACCAAGTTTTTCTAGGATCAACCTCCTATCAACCTAGATAGAGTCTATATCATCCTTAGTTACTCATAACTAATCCAATACATAAATCTTATGTATCACAATCCATGCAAAACCATGCATTTATATAATTGTATAATTAACTAACATCAACCGATATTAATTAATCCATCATCCATCGGTCAACGTTGTCGTTGACCGCCAATTCAAGCCTTGTACATATCAACTTAATCATCATATAATTAAGTCAATAATACTCATTTGAGCTTCTTTTACACTTCAAGCTAATGTGCATTTTATATAATTTCTCATATCATATTTCATGCATAATCAATTAATTCTTTTCATACAACTTGATAATGTTGGCTAATCACATGTTTAAATATCTTTTAAACATCATTTTGAACACATATAACATTTATTTAGGTAATCTCATAATTAACCCAAAAGTTATAAGATATTAAGCCGTCCACTCACCTTGAACTAGCGTTAAGAAGTTCTACCCTTCTTGGTTGAACTCCGGTGAAACTCCGGCGACTTGGTCAACTCCGGCGACAACTCCGGCGACTTTTTCCAACTTTGTGAAATCACTTGAAATACCCTTTACAAGTGCCTAACAAGGTTTTATAATCATAAAACCCATATTAATACAAATAACCTCAAAAAGGTTATTTTCCGGTGAACCGGTCGTTTTGGCTTCTAAGTCCGTTCTTGGACTTAGAACCATCTTCCACCCCATAAATCCATACTTATAACATATTGAACCATACTAAAGGTTCTTCATATGATATATACTTCATATGGTGGAAGAAAAATAAAGGAAAAGTTAATATAAGGTCATTACCTTAATTGTTCACACTTTTCCCAACTTTTTCCCTCTTTAATCTTCTTCCTTTGAGCACTAAAGCTTGAGCTCAAATTTGCAGCAATGGAGGTGATTTTGAAGCTCCTTCTCTCTCCCTTGGATGGTTTGGTCGAGCTCAATGGTTGGAGGGAGAGGGGATGTCTCACTTTTGTCTTAATTGACAAATGAGTGAGGGAGGGGGGTCCTCCATGTACCTTAGATGCCAAAAGCACCTCCTCCACTCCTTCCTTTGTCAACTCAGCCACCTCCTTGTTTATTTTGAGCACACAAAAACGTGGGGTGGCCCCCACCCTTGTGGGAGGTCATCCCATTAAGTCCCGATGTGTACAATCGGTCCCGAAAGTTGTATTTTTCGGACTGTTTTAAATATATTTTATTTTATCGGGTCGAATAAAATATATTATGTGCTCTTACTCATTATGACATGTATAATGAATATACATTCCCCAACTTTAATTTATAAGCCTCCGAAATTCATTTTCGGGCTGTTATCTGTTAAATTGTCGGTACCGGTAATTGGGCCTCTTTTTCCCAATCGGTCAACCCTGCGCCTTTCCACGACCCAAATAAAATATCCACCACTATATAAATATTATCTTGACCAAGATGAATAAAATATGTGGTCTCGGGAGTGTCGGGCGGCCCCCGCTCCCGGTGTGGGTCCCACGTGCAATTTACTATTCACGCGAAAAAATAATAAAAAATTTACAACTTCGTAAATTCATTAATCCTTTAATAAGGTTCAATACATTATTTACACAAAAGTAAATATATTTGGGGACGGTGTTACAAGTTCACCCCCCCCTTATTTGGGATTTCGTCCCCGAAATCCAAGTATCTAATCGAAAAGAAATGGGTATTGCTCCCTCATTGAGATCTCGGTCTCCCAAGTTTCTTCTTCGACTCGATCACTCCTCCAAAGAACCTTTACCATAGGAATCTCTTTATTCCTAAGCTTCTTCACTTGTTGACCAACAATCTTCACTGGTTCCACCGCATATTGCAAGTCCTCACGGATCTCTACCGGTGGTTTCTCAAGAATATGAGACGGGTCTCGTATGTACTTCTTGAGCATTGATACATGAAACACGTCATGTATCTTCTCAAGTTCAGGCGTCAACTTGAGTCGGTAAGCCACGGCTCCGATCCTTTCAAGGATCTCAAACGGACCTATGTATCGGGGGTTAAGTTTCCCCCTCGATACGAATCGGATGATGCCCTTCCAAGGAGAAATCCTTAGGAAGACCTCATCACCGACTTCGAACTCCAACGGTCTCCGCCGTTTATCAGCATAACTCTTCTGTCGGTCCTGAGCGGCCTTCAGTCTATCCCGAATGATCCTCACCTTGGCCTTGGTGATCTCAACCAGCTCTATCCCTTCGAGTTTGGCCTCGCCAACCTCGTCCCAACACAACGGTGTTCTGCACTTCCTCCCATACAATGCCTCATATGGAGGCATGCCGATACTTGCCTGATAACTGTTGTTATAGGCAAACTCCACTAGGGCTAAATGTTTGTCCCAACTTCCTTGGAACTCCAAAGCACATGCCCTAAGCATGTCTTCCAAAATCTGTATCACCCGCTCGGACTGTCCATCCGTTTGTGGGTGAAAAGCTGTGCTAAACTTCAGTTTGGTCCCCAAAGATGCTTGAAACTTTGGCCAAAACCGGGATGTGAATCGTGGATCCCTATCCGAGACAATGGATACTGGGACTCCATGTAATCTCACAATCTCCTCCGTGTATAGCTTGGCCAATCTTTCAAGAGGATAAGTAATGTTGATAGGCAGAAAGTGTGCACTCTTGGTGAGCCTATCGACCACTACCCATACTGCATCGTAGTTGTTCACTGTTCGTGGTAGCCCCACCACGAAGTCCATCGTCACGTGTTCCCACTTCCACTCTGGGATAGTAAGTGGTTGCAAAAGCCCTGCCGGGTGCTGATGCTCTGCCTTAACTTGTTGGCAAGTAAGGCATCGACTCACATACTCTGCGATGTCTCTCTTCATACCTGACCACCAGTAGCCTTCCTTCAAATCTCGGTACATTTTTGTACCTCCTGGATGCATAGCATAAGCTGAAGAATGAGCCTCCTCAAGTATAGACTTCTGGAGGTCTTCATTCTTGGGTATGCACACACGATCCTTAAACAATAATAGACCGTCATCGCGTACTCGAAAGTTCTCAACAGGCCCCTCAATGATTCGTTCACGAATCTTCTGACACTCCTCGTCAATGGCCTGGCATCTACTGATCTCACCCAGCAATGTAGGTCTGACCTCAAACCTAGCAATGAGCGCCCCGCTCGTGGATACCCCCACGTGTGCCCTCAATGCCTGTAGACATGTGAGTAGCGTCCCCGACGCACTCTTTCTGCTCAGTGCGTCGGCCACTACATTGGCCTTTCCGGGATGATAGTCGATGATCAAGTCATAGTCCTTGATCAACTCCATCCATCTCCTCTGCCTCATATTCAACTCTTTCTGAGTGAATACATACTTCAAGCTCTTATGATCAGTATAAATGTGACACGTCTCCCCGTAGAGATAATGCCTCCAAATCTTCAATGCAAACACTACCGCCCCCAACTCTAGATCATGGGTAGGGTAGTTCACCTCGTGCTTCCTCAATTGCCTAGAAGCATAGGCAATCACCTTACCGTTTTGCATCAGTACGCATCCAAGCCCTTGGATGCTGGCATCGCTGTATATATCATACCCTATCCCTTGTATGGGTAGGGCAAGGACGGGTGCTTCGGTAAGTCGTTTCTTCAGTTCAAGGAACCCTTTCTCACACTTGTCGTCCCATATGAACTTGGCCCCTTTCTTGGTGAGCTTCGTTAATGGAGATGCCAATACGGAGAATTTTTCAACAAATTTGCGATAGTATCCCGCTAAGCCAAGGAAACTACGTATCTCTTTCACATTCTTGGGTCTCTCCCAATCCATGATAGCTTTTATCTTGGCGTTATCCACAGCTACGCCCGAACCGGATATGATGTGACCGAGAAAACCAATCTCCTTGAGCCAAAATTCGCATTTAGAGAACTTGGCAAAGAGTTGCTTTTCCCTTAGCCGGTCAAGTATAAGCCCCAAATGATGTTCGTGCTCTTCCTCGCTCTTGGAGTATATCAAGATGTCATCAATGAATACTATCACAAATTGATCTAAGTATTCACTAAACACACGATTCATCAAGTCCATGAATGCCGCCAGTGCGTTAGTTAAACCAAACGACATCACAAGGAACTCGTAATGACCATATCTAGTGCGAAATGCACTCTTAGGTATGTCGCTCTCCTTGATCTTCAACTGATGATACCCCGACCTCAAGTCAATCTTCGAGAACACTTTTGCCCCTCGAAGTTGATCGAACAAGTCATCAATCCTCGGTAAGGGATACCTGTTCTTGATGGTGACCTTGTTCAATTGTCGGTAGTCGATACACATTCTTAGTGTACCATCTTTCTTCTTCACGAAGAGTACAGGTGCTCCCCACGGTGAATGACTGGGTCTGATGAACCCGTTGTCCAATAGTTCTTGTAGTTGGACCTTCAACTCTTGAAGTTCGGCCGGTGCCATTCGATAAGGAGGAATCGAAATGGGTTTGGTTCCCGGCTCCACTTCAATTACAAATTCGATCTCTCTATCGGGTGGAAGCCCCGGTAGGTCCTTGGGAAAGACATCCGGGTATTTGCATACGACCCGTACATCTTTGATGTCGACTTCCTTCTTGGTATCGTCCACCACGTAGGCAAGGTATGCGTGGCATCCCTTCCTCATCATCTTTCGTGCTCTCATCACGGATATGATACAAGCATTAGACTTCCCCCGATCTCCTTCAAAACGTAGCATATTCCCTTGACCATCCTCAAGCTCCAACACCTTGGTGTAGCAATCTACTCGAGCATGGTGCTTCTCAAGCCAATCCATTCCTAGGATTGCATCGAACTCCAACATGCTTAGAGGTACGAAATCACAAGTCAAAGGTTGACCCGTCACTTCTACCTCACACGACGGATAGTAATGATTTCTCTCCACGTCGTCTCCCAACGGTGTGGAGACTAACAATGTTTGAGTCATAGGTGTCAATGGCACGTCAAGGCCCTCGGCAAACGCCTCACTCACAAATGAGCGTTGTGCCCCGGGTATCGATGAGGATCCTCGCACACCTACCATTGATCTTTAATGTTCCTACATTTATACACATGTAAGATACATTTTCTAATGTTTTAACACATCTTTAGGAGGTTATTAGGCTCATACTAATGTTTGGAATCAAACGGGGGTCCAAACGTAGAAGAACGGGGCGAAAAAATCAAGTTTCGGGTGCTGGGGGTCCACGCACGGCGTGCCTGGGTGGCACGCACGGTCGTGCGTGCGTGAAAAATCCGGAATCCGCCACTGCCGGCTACGCACGATCGTGCGTAGCTGGTCACGCACGATCGTGCGTCCCACGCACGGCGTGCCTTACCTGCACGCACGGCGTGCGTCTGCGCGGAAAACGGCCAGAAGCTGCTGCCTCGCACGCACGGTCGTGCGTCTGTAGGTACGCGCGATCGCGCGTAGTTGTTTTTAGCCCGTTTCGCCCCGAATTCGCGGGGTTTGACCCCGGGGTGGCCCGCACCCAAACCCAATGACTCGTATGACCCAAATAAGCCTAGAAATACAGGAAAATAAGCGTATTACCTGCAACGGAGTCCGGGTTTGCTCGCGCATCCGCCTCGGTCATTGCGTACACTCGTGCTTGGGTCCCGCCTTGATTTACGGACGCGGCATGACCTGTGGACGCGCCGCCTCTTCCCGTACCGCCGTTTGATGGGCCCGCACGGTTCCTCCCCGTCATGGTTCCTCCTCCGGATCCCGGAGCTCCTCCGCCCCCCAGTTGTGGGCAATTGGCCTTCATGTGGCCCGTGTTCCCACATTGATAACACCTCGGGGGTGCATTGCACTTCCCAAAGTGATTTTTCGAACAATTTGCACACTTTGGAGGCCCCGTCTTTTGGGAGGAGGATGCATGCCACCGAGCATCCCTGTTCTTCTTTGCCGGTGGTGCCGGAGTCTTGAACGAACCGCCACCCCCGCCGTGTTTATCCTTCCGTGCTTGCTCGGGCGGCCCCGAACTTTGCCATTTCCTCTTTTTCGCCTCTTCGGCGTCTCTCTCTTTCCTCTCATTCCATTGGGCCTCCCCGAGAAGGCCCTGTTCCACCACCTCGCTGAAGGTCATGTGGCGCGAGTACGTAGCTCGGTCACGGATGTCCAAGAGTAGGGCATCCCAAAAGTGCTCCGTCATGCGGTTCTCATCAACCGCGTACTCCGGCAAGAACCTAGCCAAGGTTCTAAACTCTTGTTCCAGTTGTTTAACTGTGCCGCCATCTTTCTGTTTGAGGTTAGTGTACTCTCTCCGTTTCACATTCACCTCGTACTCGGAGTAGTATTGAGCATAGAACTCCAGCTCAAAGTCCGCCCATGTTATTTCCCCATGGTACTTCCCTTCCACGCTCTCCCACCACGTAGAAGCTATCCCTTCAAGTAGCCGTGAAGCGACAGTCAACTTCACGTCCGGTGTGATTTGCATGTCCCTTGATGCATCCTTCACCTTCTTAATCCAATCGGCGGCAACGGTAATGTCCCCGGTGCCGTCAAAGGACCTACACCCCAAGGCCCTAGCCTCCTTGAGGTACTTGGAGATTCTCACAACAAAACCTCCTTCACGCCCACCTTGTGACGCCGCTGGGGTGGCCACGGAAGCTCCCCGGCTTCCTTGACCCGAACCTCCACGAGAGCCACGCCTCGCTTGGCGCCTAAGGTCTCTCCTCAGTTTTTCTTTTTGATACCACTCAAGCAATTCGCCCATTTGAGCGAACTTGGCATCACTCTCTTCATCATCATCGTCCGTGTACGTGTCACCCCCATCATATGGGGTCTCCTCGTGCTCCGTTTCCGGAACATATGTAGAGTCGTAGTCTTCGGTGTTGGTTTCATACACCGAGCTTACATGGCCATCACTCACAGTTTGAGCTTGATGACCTCCACGGCTTCCACGGCCTCCACGGCCTCCTCTTGAACCCCGAGATGCAGCCCGGCTTCCCCTTTGGGACGCTACCGGCGCCCGCCCTCTCGGATTGTTCCTGGTTGCCATTCGCCTGCCCTCCATTTCTGAAAGAAATATGGATGAGTCATTAGACTCCTATAAATGTCAATTGACGGAAGAACGTTACAGACACGTATTGGCCCAAGTCACTACCATACCAATTGTTAAGGGTACCGTCTTAACAATTAGAGGCCTTGCAACTTAAGCACCAATAGTCCTATAAACGTCAAAATACAATGCTCATGATTTTTGGTAAAAACTCTTTTGTAAAATCTTTTGTGAGAGGTTGATTATATAGTTTAGAACTGAGATGGCTCTGATACCACTTAATTGTCACGCCCCAGACCGCAATCCAAGCGCGTGTACAACCGCCGTATAATTAAGTGACGTCACCCGCGAGTCAACCCCACTTAATTACACAAGGCGTTCGAGAAAACAATCCATCCATACTCAGTAGTAAACATACATAACAACATCACATTTAAACCAATGAATAGCGGAAATATTCAACGGTAAGTCATAAGCCACAACCGGCCAACAACATGGGCATGCAAGCCCCAAAAATAGTTTATAGTAGAACAAATATCCATGAGCAAGTGTTCGGTAGTTTGAAAGAAAATAAGGAAGCACGAACCACGTCTTCCTGATTTGATATCACCCGTGAGAAGGTGCAAGTAGCAAGCCCTAGCTTCAACCTGAAAATGGTGGGGCCCCCCGAAGGGGTCAGTACAAGTACCGAGCGAGTAGCAGGCTAAATATAGAATAACTAGCGTTTCAAGTATAAGACCCAAACATAGGGTGATACTTAAATAGATAGTCTTTCCCCCAAGTTATGAAATACTTATTAGTATATATATACTTGGAAAATATCCGATCCGTAGATCACCATTTTATTTGGGAAAAATAGTATTAGTCAATATTCTTGACTAAAAACCCCAACCCACCCATATACCTATGAGTGTATAGGACTCCTCCTTGTCCCTATTTGTATATCATAATTTATGAGTTTTAGGATCAACATCCTCGGATACTCCACCGGTTTGTGAGTGTTAAGGCCTCATAAGTCCTAGGGTCCTCCACCGAGTTTTGAGTGTTAAGTACTTTAAGTACTAGGGTCCTCCACCAAGTTTGAGTGTTAAGGACTTTAAGTCCTAGGGTCCTCCACCAAGTTTTTGAGTGTTAAGTACTTTTTAAGTACTAGGGTCCTCCACCGAGTTTGAGTGTTAAGGACTTTAAGTCCTAGGGTCCTCCACCAAGTTTGAGTGTTAAGGACTTTAAGTCCTAGGGTCCTCCACCAAGTTTGAGTGTTAAGGACTTTAAGTCCTAGGGTCCTCCACCAAGTTTGAGTGTTAAGTACTTTTTAAGTACTAGGGTCCTCCACCAAGTTTTTCTAGGATCAACCTCCTATCAACCTAGATAGAGTCTATATCATCCTTAGTTACTCATAACTAATCCAATACATAAATCTTATGTATCACAATCCATGCAAAACCATGCATTTATATAATTGTATAATTAACTAACATCAACCGATATTAATTAATCCATCATCCATCGGTCAACGTTGTCGTTGACCGCCAATTCAAGCCTTGTACATATCAACTTAATCATCATATAATTAAGTCAATAATACTCATTTGAGCTTCTTTTACACTTCAAGCTAATGTGCATTTTATATAATTTCTCATATCATATTTCATGCATAATCAATTAATTCTTTTCATACAACTTGATAATGTTGGCTAATCACATGTTTAAATATCTTTTAAACATCATTTTGAACACATATAACATTTATTTAGGTAATCTCATAATTAACCCAAAAGTTATAAGATATTAAGCCGTCCACTCACCTTGAACTAGCGTTAAGAAGTTCTACCCTTCTTGGTTGAACTCCGGTGAAACTCCGGCGACTTGGTCAACTCCGGCGACAACTCCGGCGACTTTTTCCAACTTTGTGAAATCACTTGAAATACCCTTTACAAGTGCCTAACAAGGTTTTATAATCATAAAACCCATATTAATACAAATAACCTCAAAAAGGTTATTTTCCGGTGAACTGGTCGTTTTGGCTTCTAAGTCCGTTCTTGGACTTAGAACCATCTTCCACCCCATAAATCCATACTTATAACATATTGAACCATACTAAAGGTTCTTCATATGATATATACTTCATATGGTGGAAGAAAAATAAAGGAAAAGTTAATATAAGGTCATTACCTTAATTGTTCACACTTTTCCCAACTTTTTCCCTCTTTAATCTTCTTCCTTTGAGCACTAAAGCTTGAGCTCAAATTTGCAGCAATGGAGGTGATTTTGAAGCTCCTTCTCTCTCCCTTGGATGGTTTGGTCGAGCTCAATGGTTGGAGGGAGAGGGGATGTCTCACTTTTGTCTTAATTGACAAATGAGTGAGGGAGGGGGGTCCTCCATGTACCTTAGATGCCAAAAGCACCTCCTCCACTCCTTCCTTTGTCAACTCAGCCACCTCCTTGTTTATTTTGAGCACACAAAAACGTGGGGTGGCCCCCACCCTTGTGGGAGGTCATCCCATTAAGTCCCGATGTGTACAATCGGTCCCGAAAGTTGTATTTTTCGGACTGTTTTAAATATATTTTATTTTATCGGGTCGAATAAAATATATTATGTGCTCTTACTCATTATGACATGTATAATGAATATACATTCCCCAACTTTAATTTATAAGCCTCCGAAATTCATTTTCGGGCTGTTATCTGTTAAATTGTCGGTACCGGTAATTGGGCCTCTTTTTCCCAATCGGTCAACCCTGCGCCTTTCCACGACCCAAATAAAATATCCACCACTATATAAATATTATCTTGACCAAGATGAATAAAATATGTGGTCTCGGGAGTGTCGGGCGGCCCCCGCTCCCGGTGTGGGTCCCACGTGCAATTTACTATTCACGCGAAAAAATAATAAAAAATTTACAACTTCGTAAATTCATTAATCCTTTAATAAGGTTCAATACATTATTTACACAAAAGTAAATATATTTGGGGACGGTGTTACAAGCTGCTTAACTGTGCCGCCATCTTTTTGTTTGAGGTTAGTGTACTCTCTCCGTTTCACATTCACCTCGTACTCGGAGTAGTATTGAGCATAGAATTCTAGCTCAAAATCCGCCCATGTTATTTTCCCATGGTACTTCCCTTCCACGCTCTCCCACCACGTAGAAGCTATCCCCTCAAGTAGCCGTGAAGCGACAGTCAACTTCACGTCCGGTGTGATTTGCATGTCTCTTGATGCATCCTTCACCTTCTTAATCCAATCGGCGGCAACGGTAATGTCACCGGTGCCGTCAAAGGACCTACACCCCAAGGCCCTAGCCTCCTTGAGGTACTTGGAGATTCTCACAACAAAACCTCCTTCACGCCCGCCTTGTGACGCCGCTGGGGTGGCCACGGAAGCTCCCCGGCTTCCTTGACCTGAACCACCACGAGAGCCACGCCTCGCTTGGCGCCTAAGGTCTCTCCTCAGTTTCTCCTTTTGATACCACTCTAGTAATTCGCCCATTTGGGCGAAGCGGGCATCACTCTCTTCATCATCATCATCATCGGTGTAAGTGTCACCCCCATCATACGGGGTCTCCTCATGCTCCATCTCCGGGACGTAGGTTGAGTCGTAGTCCTCGGTGTTGGTTTCATACACCGAGCTTACATGGCCATCACTCACGGTTTGAGCTTGATGACCTCCACGGCCTCCACGGCCTCCACGGCCTCCTCTTGAACCCCGAGATGCAGCCCGGCTTCCCCTTTGGGATGCTACCGGCGTCTGCCCCCTCGGATTGTTCCTGGTCCTCATTCGCCTGCCCTCCATTTCTGAAAGAAATATGGATGAGTCATTAGACTCCTATAAATGTCAACTGACGGAAGAACGTTACAGACACGTATTGGCCCAAGTCACTACCATACCAATTGTTAAGGGTACCGTCTTAACAATTAGAGGCCTTGCAACTTAAGCTCCAATAGTCCCATAAACGTCAAAATCCAATGCTCATGGTTTTTTGGTAAAACTCTTTCGTAAAATCTCATGTGAGAGGTTGATTATATAGTTTAGAACTGAGATGTCTCTGATACCACTTAATTGTCACGCCCCAGACCGCAATCCAAGCGCGTGTACAACCGCCGTATAATCGAGTGACGTCACCCGCGAGTCAACCTCACTTGATTACACAAGGCGTTCGAGAAAATAATCCATCCGTACTCAGTAGTAAACATACATAACAACATCACATTTAAACCAATGAATAGCGGAAATATTCAACGGTAAGTCATAAGCCACAACCGGCCAATAACATGGGCATGCAAGCCCCAAAAGAATAGTTTATGACAAATAAAAATATCCATGAGCAATGTTTAGTAATTTGAAATAAAATGAGGAAGCACGAACCACGTCTTCCTTGATTTGATGTCACCCGTAGAAAGGTGCAGGTAGCAAGCCCTAGCCTCAACCTGAAAATGGTGGGGCCCCCCGAAGGGGTCAGTACAAGTACCGAGCGAGTAGCAGGCTAAATATAGAATAACTATCGTTTCAAGTATAAGACCCAAACATAGGGTGATACATATACGTATAGTCCTTTTCCCAAGTTTGAAATACATATTAGTATACATACACTTGGAAATACCCGACCCGTAGGTCATTGTTTATTTGGGAAAATAATAGTAGTCAATATCCTTGACTTAAATCCCAACCCACCCATATACCTATGAGTGTATAGAACTCCTCCTTGTTCAAATAAATTATCATAAGGACACCGCCCGGTCCTAGATCATTAAATGTAATCTATGAGTTTTGAGGATACACGCCCGATCCTTGGGTACTCCACCCTATAACCGAGTTTTGAGGATAACCGCCCGATCCTTGGGTACTCCACCCTATATAACCGAGTTTTGAGGATAACCGCCCGATCCTTGGGTACTCCACCCTATATAACCGAGTTTTGAGGATAACCGCCCGATCCTTGGGTACTCCACCCGACCTATGACTTACCACATATCACGCTAGATAGGGTCTATATCATATTTAGTCATTCATAACTAATTCACTACATAAAGCTTATGTATCACAATCCATGCAAATCCATGCAACCATATAAATGTATAATTAACTAATATCAACCGATATTAATTAATCCATTAGCCATCGGTCAACGTTGTTGTTGACCGCTATCTCAAGTCTTACACTTATTAACTAATTCATCATATAATTAAGTTAATAATATCCATTTGTGCTTCTTTTACTCTTAAAGCAAATATGCATTTTATATAATTTCTCATATCATATTTCATGCATAAACAATTATTCTTTTCATACGCACTTAACTATGTTAGCTAATCACATGTTTAAATATCTTTTGAACATCATTATGAACACATATAACATTTATTTAGGTAATCTCATAATTGACCCAAAAGTTATAAGATATTAAGCCGTCCACTCACCTTGAACTAGCGTTAAGAAGTTCTACCCTTCTTGGTTGAACTCCGGTGAAACTCCGGCGACTTGGTCAACTTCGGCGACAACTCCGGTGATTTTTTCCAACTTTGTGAAATCACTTGAAATACCCTTTACAAGTGCCTAACAAGGTTTTATAATCATAAAACCCATATTAATACAAATAACCTCAAAAAGGTTATTTTCCGGTGAACCGGTCGTTTTGGCTTCTAAGTCCGTTCTTGGACATAGAACCACTTTCCAACCCATAAATCCATACTTATAACATGTGGAACCATATTAAGGGTCCTTCACATGATATATACCTCATATGGTAGAAGAAAAATAAAGGAGAAGTTATAATAAGGTCATTACCTTAATTTTCACACTTTTTCCTAGCTTTTCCTTCTTTAATCTTCCTTCTTGGAACCCTATGGCTTGAGCTCGAATTATGGCTATGGAAGATGAGTTTGCAGAGGTCTCCTTGTTCTCTTGGTGTGCCTTGGCCGAAAATATGGGGTGGGTGAGTGAGGAGATAGCCTCTTTGGCTTTTTCTCTCAAAATAATGTGGGAATGGGTCCTCCCCATTGTACTTTTGATGCCAAATGCATCTCCTCCTCACTTCCTCTTGTCAACCCAGCTCTCAATTGATGTGTTTAGCACATAAAAACGTGGGGTGGCCCCCACTCATGTGGGAGGTCATCCCTTTGTGTCCCGATGTGTACAATCGGTCCCGAAAGTTGTATTTTTCGGACTGTTTTAAATATATTTTATTTTATCGGGTCAAATAAAATATATTATGTGCTCTTACTCATTATGAAATGTATAATGAATATACGTTCCCCAACTTTAATTTATAAGTCTCCGAAATCCAGTTCGGGCTGTTATCGGTTAAATTACCAGTACCGGTAATTTGGGCTTCTTTTGACCAATCGGTCAACTCCGGGCCTTCCCATGGCCCAAATGAAATATCCACCACTATATATTTATTATCTAGGCCAAGATGAATAAAATATATGGTCTCGGGAAAGTCGGGCGGCCCCGCTCCCGGTGTGGGTCCCACGTGCAATTTACTATTCACGCGAAAGAAATAATAAAAATTTACAACTTCGTAAATTCATTAATACTTTAATAAGGTTCGATACATTATTTACATAAAAGTAAATATATTTGGGGACGGTGTTACAAGAGGAGACAGAGGACATAGAGGAGGCAGATCGAGGAGACGGACGAGGTTGAAGATCTTTTCGAGAACGAAATGAATGAAGACGATGTTCCATTGTTATCAGATTCAGACCAAAAAGATGAGGGGTTTGATAATTGATGATGATTGTGGCATAATCATCGAACAAAAACAAGCTAACATATTTTGAAAGACATGCAACTTTTTTGGAATATTATTCTTTGGAACTATTTTAACTGCACATGTTTTGGCTAGAATGTTGTTATTCAACTTTTTATATCATGTTTTGGTGGTTGGGCGATACAAGTATAGTGTCTATAATTCGTTATTTAGTTTTTTTGTCACGTGGTGATGCCATATTTATGTCATCGCCATTTATGCATGTGCGCCATTGATAACCCCATGCGCCATGACAACTATGCTTCCAACAATTTAGCTCACAAGGTTCCAAATGTGACCATGGCTGTGTGGTTACAAAATAGTTATTGGACTACCTTCAGATTGAGTCACGGGAAGGCTTCTTACCAACAAAGAATTCATAGAATTCATAGCTGTTAAATTGTGGGAAGAACTTGACTCCAAAATTGGCTGAGCATAACAAATACTTGTTTGTAGCAAAAAATGATGCAGAAAAACTATGATTTCATATCAAAAGCAAAATGATACTCCCTCCGTCCCCCTAAGTTTGTCCCGTTTTACCTTTTTCGTCCGTCCCACTAAGTTTGTCCCATACCATATTTGGTAACATTTGAGTGGTTAGAATTCATTCTTACTTTATTTACACTTTATCAATTCAATACCAACCACACAATTCCACTTTTTCTTAAAAACCACACCACACCCCTCCGTCCCAAACTTAGGGGGACGGAGGGAGTACAACTAGGTTACGAACCTGCAATAGCATATTTGATAATATAGAACTGGCTGAGGCTGGCACCAAGCCATTTTGCGAACTATTTGTCGGCCACTTGTCGGATGAAAAATTCAATGCATGCTTTACATTTTTTCAAGCACCAAATAGCACACTGTTCTGTTACTCTAACATGCCCATGTTCTTTGTAGGTTTGTTGGCCGCAGTTGTTGCTAAATTGCCTAGGACATTCATTGTAACTGGAGGTGCAGAAACTAGCATGGTATGTGATTGTGGTTAATGAGGAGTGTGTTTTTATTTGTTTGTTCTCTCAAATGACTTTTCGCTAGGGGGCACATGTACTGATTTGTTGCATTTATTGTTCACAGGTTGACCATTGTACTTATGACCATGTGGGAAGAATTTGTGACCAAACATGGTGTATAAATTGACAGGTTGCTACAGATGGGTGAATACCCCATTATGTTCTTGAGCAAGGCTAGCGTGAACATTTATCAAGGTTATATTTCTTCAGCTTTCCACCTAATATTTTCATGTAATGTCGCATCTCTCATGTTTTTCTTGACTCCAGGGCTGACGTTAGTAACTCGCTATGATTCGAGCATGGAAATCAACCCTGGCAGTGAACGCGTTTTGTCACTGAAAAATGGTGGATTTCTGGATTGTGGCAGCTGATTAATTGCTTTTGTTGGTGATTCATATATCTCAGCATCTCTCTACCCATGTATGACATAAGTTTTGCATGTTTCCAGGATCACGGAGAACAAAGGAAAGATCAAAGAACTGGTGCTTGAAAAACAATATGCCCACGCTCTGGCCAACATTGCTAACCCCCTTTCACAGCCACATATAGCTCTGATGTCCATATAAGTTGAACTCAATAAGGTCTGTGCTGCCATCATGTGTGAACATTTATCTGCCAACTGGCCTATGTTAATTGTGTTTGTGATTGCAGGTCCCACTCGTGTGGGTGTGTGGCAAGCTGAACTTGGCAGACATTTCTGCTGAAGCATTTTATATTGGCTGTGATTACTGCAACCGCCGGGTTTATGCGCCAGAAGGGGTTTCTTTCCACTGTATGTTTTGTGATCAAAAGCAAGGAGAGGCAGTCAAGAGGTGTGTGCCTCACGTCACAAATTTTTATCGTGATGTCCTGCACTATGCGGAAACAACCATTTTTTAAGACTTATTGATGTGTTAGCCTTTGTGCAGGTTTATCCTGAATGCATTGGTGACTGACAATTCCAACAGCATCCATGTTACATTGTTCACCCATGACACATTGCAGCTTCGTAGTTATGTACGTATGGACCCTGAGATTGATATGGACCTGGAAGCGCTTGATGCGAAGCTGCAGAAGATTACCATTGTTGCTGGACTGAAGCGCACTAAATCAACCGAAGAAAGGCTTCGAGGGAACCCCTACAGTGTGGTATGTGTTTCCCATGACAAAGGGACTGTGAAAACTGCACCACCTGTTGATCCTGAATCCCCACAGTCAGGACAAAGTGAAGAAGCCACGCCCAAAAGGAAACTCACGTTCAAAGCTCTAGATATGCTTCCCCAAGTTAAATCTGCTGGCTCATCCAAAACGGTTTCCCAGCAAGACCATAGCGAGGATGAAGTCATTGCTAAGCTACGTGATATTTGTGTAATTTCCGATTGTATGTTTGTATTTTTAACTAGTTTTTATTAGTTGTAGTTGTGGAAATTACACACTTTTGGTGTAATATTTTATTTTCATTTTTATTTGTAATTTGTTTAGATTAGGATTATTCTGAGCTAAACAGGTCAAAGATCATCCAAGGGATCAAGATTGGACCTTAAAAGATCAAGGAAAGTGCAAGGAGACAAGAAAGATTTCGATTTGGAAAAAATACTCATGTACTATACCCGATCGGGTATTCGCTTGATTCGATTGTCCAAATCAAATCCGTGAACAAATGATTGTGGGCGCAAATTTTCGTGAAGATTTGTCACATACCCGATCGGGTATGCCGACATACCCAATCGGGTATGCCTAGAAAAGTGACTTTCTGGGCAATTTCCTAAGATACCCGATCGGGTATCCTATATACCCGATCGGGTATCAGACCCTGTGCAGCTCCCAAAAGCCTATAAATACACCCATTTCCTTCACAATAAAATCACCAATTCACATATACTCTTTAGCTCAGTTTAGATTAGTGTTTTCTTTATATTTTCTATCATGTTTAGTCTCCAAATGAGGAGCTAAACTCTTCTATCTTGGTTTTGCTACTTTGAAGCTTAATGAATTTGTAAGTTGTGAGTTATTCTCTTTAATCTTCTTCCTTGAATATTAATTCTTCCTTTAAATACTATTTCTATATCAATGTTGGGGAGTGTTACTAAGATGACAATTAGTTAACATCTTGACATTAGTTATAGTAATAGTTATTTCTTCCTCTATGTTAATATTGGGGAGTGTTACTAAGATGACAATTAGTTAACATCTTGATATTAACTATAGTAGGATTCATCTTCTTTAATATTCTTCCTTGAGTATTAATTAATTCCTATTCATATTTCATATTAATATTTTGAACATTACTTAAAGGATCAACTAGTTTTGTTTTATATATTAAGTATTACTAGAATCGATCGACGAATACGCTTGTTAATCGTTCAATCGTTTCACGGTAGTAAACTTGGGTTATTAATGCATGCGTTTCATGGTTAATAAACCAAGGGGAATTAATTATGTTGATTAAACCAATAAACCGCTTGTGTTGAGGTTATCAATCTCAATCGTTTTCATCTTGATTTTATTGCTACTATCGGGTTAATATACGGCGCGTGTTCTATATTAACTCGGTAGTAAGTTTTATTAATGAACGTGTCTCGTTATTAATAACTATCCTCGATGAACTGGATATACTCCTCGATTGAGTATTCGAGAGGAAGATAGTTAAAGATATAACCGGGATCGACGAACATTTCATTAAGTGGATAAAAGCAAAGCCAAGTCTTCTTCTCATTAATTAAACCACATAAGTCGTTCATCTTTGTGTTAAATATTCTTAAAAGTTCTTCAACAACAAATCTAAAAAACTCTCTTATTACTAGTTATAAAAAGAGAAGTATTCATTTCCCTATGGATACGAACCTTACTACGCTATACTACGTATAAGTGTTGTATTGTATTATTATTTTGAGTGCACATCACGACAAAGTGCACGTCACTACGCCCCAAAAAGTGCAAACTTAGCTCCACTTAGGGAACTGCGTGTGACCGTGTGTAGTTTTTTTTGTCCTGTTGATAAACTGCTTGGGTTTTGTGCGCTGTTTTGTAAATAGGGACATCGGTTTTTATCTGGCCTTGCGCTTTTATGTGTAGGGTCTCACCGTACATATTTAGGTGCCTAGTGATGTGTTTAACTGACCTTGCTGGCAGATATGTAACGCGCCATGCTATTATGTTTTTTTTGTAGCCCCGGGTT